CCGCCTGCCTCTGCCTCCCGAGTGCTGGAATTAAAGATGTGCACCACTACACCCTGTGACAATTAGTTTTTAAATGACCTTTCTTCACCAACTTGAGCTTCACTAGAGCTCATCAGTATTCTAGGATTTAATGGGCCTTGTTAAAAGTAGACAGTAAATGATTGTTAAATGAATGAATAAATGAATGAAATGAAAAGACATGAGCATGAAATAAAAAATGGAAACACCCCATTCATCCTGCTTCTCTGGTGAGGAAAAGGCAAGGTGCCACATCCATTGGTCCCAGAGCCTAAGCCAGTCTGCAGAAGGGCTGTCTGCAGTCTTCCTAGGCATGCATTATGGGCTGGGAGCAGGGTGGAAGGAGGGAGCTGACAAGTTTATTTTCTCCCAGGCCTCCTGTCCATGGCCAACTCTGGTCCAAATACCAATGGTTCCCAGTTCTTCCTGACCTGTGATAAGACAGATTGGCTGGATGGCAAGCACGTGGTGTTTGGGGAGATCACTGAAGGCATGGATGTCTTGCGGCAGATTGAGGTGGGTGGCTGGAAATGACCTAATCACCTGGGCACCCCTGTGGGAGAACTGGAGGGGGTGCTCTGTGGCTCTGGAAGAGGGCACTTCCAGGGGGATTCCTGGATGGCAGGAGGTGTTGGGGGATGTTGGGTTATCCCTGAGCAACTCTTCAGCCCCCTGCTTCTCTCCTTGACTTCTCTCCTCTGCTCTTAAAGGCTCAGGGCAGCAAAGATGGGAAGCCAAAGCAGAAGGTGATCATCGCTGACTGTGGAGAGTACCTGTGAGGCTGTGCTCTCCCTGCTGTTCTGTGGGACAAGGAAGGAGCTGCCTGGCCTTGGAGGCACAGGTGTGAGGTGACCGTGAAGCAAGCTTGTGTGTGGCCCAAGCCCTTCAGGGTTGGCTTCCTCGACAACAGCTCCACTATAGTGTGATCTGCCCTGTCTTCCTCTGAGCTCTTTCCCTGGGCGTAGCTGGGGGTCTGAAACCACAGGTGTCGCCCCACCCCTCACCATGGTCAGCTGTGTCTGGTCACTGGTTCTCCAGACATGTGCTGCCACAGCCTGTCCTGGACCGTCTAGCTACTGGGTGGCTTCTTTGCTAAAATAAACTGGTTTTTTTTTGTACTGTTGCGTGCAGCACGTTCCTGGGAGTTATCTGTTAGAGATCATGCCCATGGCTAAACCATCCCCTGGAGGTGACTGGCAAGTTGGAAAGGCATAACACCTTCATGGCTCATGTTTTCTTCCTTGGGCTAATTCCTTTAAATGCCAGGTGATGTAGCTTCATGTCAGATATCCTTGCAGACATGGTCAGGGCAATGGAAATCTCTTTTCTGTGTTCCTGAACTCATGCTGCCTGTCTTGTGTCACCTCAGTGGCTCCTGTGGTTATTTAGTGTTCACATTTTCATTCTTCAGGGTTTTTTGTCTTTTTTTTTTTTTTTTAATTTCTAATTATTTTTATTCTATGTGTATGAGTGTTATGCTTGTATGTGTAAGTGCACCTGTGTCATGCAATGCCCGCAGAGGACAGAAGAGGCTATTGGATCCCCTGGAACTGGAGTTA